TTATTTTCATTATCGATTAGTTGTTGCAGGCCTAGTTTTATACAACCTGGAAACACAAGCCCAACACAGGCAGATGTGTGCAGTCCATAGGGTGCATCAAGGTGGCATTAACAACCTTGATTACAATATCAATAAAGGTAAACAAGGTTTTCATTGGAAAAGTTTTACACATACTACAAAATACATTCACAAGAAATGAGAAATACTTTTAAGAATGATTAAAATGATATCAACTCACATGAGATGAAGATTTCAGTCATTTCAGGCCTAAAGCAAGCTGATTTATTCTACATCGAGTCACCTCATGGGGGCTGTTGAAGGCCAGATGAATCCTCCACTCTTTAACTTGGTGAAGGTAATGCCCCTCTTTTCAAAAACGTTTGAGGCTGCATACATGGCAGTTGTCAGTATGAAGTCTATCATATAGTCCAGTAGGTTACAGTCCACCTTCGGTTTGGTTGTCTTGATCTTCACCCCATATGGTCTCAGGACCTAAAACGCGAAGAATATGCAGTTTTTTCAAACCACATAAACACATTGCATTACACCAAATACACAAAATAATGTTCTTTTTAGTAATGTCATATGACCCCTTTAAAAAAAAGGTGCCAGGAAGAACCAAAAAAAATTTTCCGCGGCGATGCCATAGAGGAACCTTTTTTGGCAGATTAATGTCAGTACCCCCATCATCCACTACTATGTCCTTTTTCATCCCGTGAAAGAGTTCCCGCTTTCACAGTCCTTCACTGCTTCTGCACTGCATACACATACTGTATACACACTGCAGACGGTAGAGCCCTGCATTTCAGCCCGGGCCCGATGGGCCCCGACTTTTTTACGCCCCTCGGGCCGGGCTTCGGGCCAATTTTCACGTCATAGTTCAGACGTGGGCCGGGCCTCGGGCCTGTTTTAGGCTTCTCCTTATTTTTATATTTTAGACATCCATGAATTCGTGATGAAAAAAATTGCCTCGCTGGTGGAAACAACACAAGGCCGTGCTAGACTTAGTGTCCAGCAGCAGCAGCATGTATGGTGCGTGCTGTCAGGACACGTTTGGGAGAAGGGGAAAAAAAGACGTGCTCGGGTCGGGGTTGGGCTCGGGCCGATAATTCTGATAAGCTGTCGGACACGGGCCGGGCTAGGGCCTGAACGTCTCAGGCCAGGGCAGGGCTAGGGCCTAAATTTGAGGCTCGTTCAGGGCTCTAGCAGACGGAGTACGTGTAAATTTGGCGCAACAAATCTAGTTCAACATCTGAGGCAACACCACAAAGAGCTCTATGACCACTGCATGGCAAAAAAAATCCCTGGACACGGGATTTATTTTTATTTTTTTTCTGCCATACAGACATTTTGTTACACCTTTACTTAGTGATTATTTTGCTTATGTCACATGTTATAGCTTTTTGATAAAAACAATATTTTTACCTTACTTTCTCAACGACTCCCAAACGATTCGCTCAACGATTAATTTTTCCAAACCCCTCCTTTGTGTGACGCTGATCTGCGGTGATTGGTCCGATTGGATCTTGTCTGTAATGCCTGATAAAGCAGCGTTTGTGAGCGCAGTGCTGCTTTGTTTACAGCCGTTACCGGGGAAACAGTGCTCCAAAAGCGGCACCTAGTGGCAAAAAATGAATTTGCATTTTCATTCTGACCAACCTGAAAAGACCAACAAGTGGGTGGGCAATATGCTAATGTTTCATGTTGACCAATTTGGGATTAGTTTTAAAAACGACTCGTTTCTATGATTCAGAGTCGACTCTTGCTTTTGAGAGACAATAACTTTATACACAGTGCACTTTCAGATTTAACACTTTGCAGGATGTTTTCATTCACTTGGAGCTGTGTTACAAACTGCATGAAAGGCAATTTAAAAAAATGACAGCGATCAAATTTCTCTCACCTGTGACCGTCACGGTGACGAGGATTACTCCTGTTGAGATTTCAGCTGTGTAAGTTCCTTCATCGCTGGATGTGAAGTTTTTAATGGTCAGGCGGCCGTTCTTGTCAGTCAGTCGATCAGTTAGGATGCCCCGTTCTCTCCTCCACGCCTCTTTCCAGCCAGCTTTTGTAAAATGCTCAACGCTCTCAGCCTCATGCGGCAGATCATCAAACATCAGCTCTTTGCCTTTCTGTCCTGTTAAATGAACTAAGGAGAAATAAAACAAGAGCATAATTGTGACATTGCGCTTTTATAATATTGATGGCGTGTGGTATTACACTGGTGTAACGTAATATGAAATAAACACTACTAAATGAAAGCAACGAAAAGCTAAAATCAATAGGGGTGTGCGAGATATATCATAACATTGTAATTGTTGTTTTAACGATGTGCGATTTGACATTATTGAGTATTTTGCAAAAAAAAACATTCAAAACACATCTACAGGATGCATGCATTCATTACGTGAAGCCTAGACTAGAGTGCATTTAGAGTGTGTTATTTCACTGCACTTTCACTACATTTAGAATGATCACAAAATGAAAGAAATGGGGGCAGAAAATGTACTGTATATAGGCTATTTATACCACTTCATATAGCCCAGTTTATCAATTTCACACAGAGAGTAACGAAAAATAATGCTCCAAAAATCAGCATGATTACAAATTTTTTACAACAGTTCAATAAACAAAAAGTCAATTAAGATACTTACGTTTTAGACACATTTCCTGTTTTTGCGCTATTTCGATAACAACAATCACTCCAAACACAGCCACAGCGCTGTTTTGCATCTCTGAGCAACATGACGGTGTTTCGTTCCTGAATGAATCAACCGTTTAAATGATTCGGTTCAATCGCAAAGACTCACTTATTAACAGTGACTTGCTGCCACCTACTGGCGGGTTTAATTTCACATTATTTTATTATATTATTTTATTCATTTCTTTTATTATTTAAATAATTTCAAATATCGATATTTAACATTTTGTTTAATATATCAAAACATGATTTATGCATGTGTAACTGCAGGTTAAATGCATTCATGTCCTGCATTAGACTTCAGATGCAGCTTCTGTGTTTTCTCTGCATTGCAAAGATGAATTTTGTTGATACTGATTTCATTTGCTTGGTAACAGCCCAAAAGTATGGAAGCCCGTTTCCGCCATTGAATAAAAAATTAAAAAGGTAATTGCGATTTTTTTATCTCACAACTCTGACTTTTTTTCACGTTAAGTGACGCCATAAAGCTTTGTACGTATTTGAACGTTTTAGAGCAGTTAGCCACTCATTTTGGTATTTGTGGCTCACAAGCTGTTTGAGACTGAGCGTGGACTGTGTGCGATCCACTAATATAGATCAGTGGTGGTGCGCACGCGCGAAACCTGCGGGAATTACTAAAATAATGCGTAATACAAGCACTATTTAACCGGAGCGAATGAGACGTGTGTGAGAGAGAAGGGGTCGTCGGAGAGAAGAGAGCGAGAATGCGCGGCTGACATTTTTGCATGTGCCACTGGTAACACAACGGATCGGCTCAGAATCAAAAAGACGTGAGACTGACCGACCGATCACCGATCCGGGCCGATCATGAGGAAAATCGGCCGATTCCGATCCCTGGCCGATCGATCGGTTCATCTCTAATTTTCGGGTCAAAATGACCCGAGGGACGGATGAGTAAAAGGTAAAAGCACTGACCACAATGCAACTCTAAACTCAACTGTTTCTTCTTGTTTTATTGTTATTCAGCTCTTCTTTAATTAGACCGTTAGAAGAAACTGCACACAAACGTCATTGGACCTTTTGTCTGCCATCAATGTCAGTTTAAATATTGAAAGTGAACCAGATTTCCTCCCTTATAACATGCCTCACGATGCCTGTGAAGCACTACTGAACAACTTCCTGTTCCAAACAAGTGGCTTTATTATCCCTTTTCTCCAGCAGGCCAGTTTTTGGATGATTTCTGTGTTTTAGCAGAGTCTGGCGATGATGCACATGAAAATCGGTTGCTCCGCTGGTCTAAAAACACAGAAATAGCACCTCTTGGATCCAGCCGCTGCAAACCATCCCACATTAAGCTTCACTTTCGCTACAAGCACATTAGGATTTACTGAACATCATCTTTGATCATTTGGGGGATAAGCATGACGTACAAACTTCTAGTCTTTCAGTTGGTCAGGACTGACACTAATTATCCTGGCTCTTTGACTACACAATTACTGTCGCCAAAAACTCTTGAACACCATTTAGCAACTTTAGCTTTCACTATAATAACTTGCAGCTGTTAATTATTTACGCACAGAATATGATCACTGAGAGAGAGTTGAGAGGTACTCACCAATGGAGGTTAATTTTTTCACTTCGTCACTTCATAACGTTACGGTTGAACCACTGATGGCAGATGGACTATTCTGACGATGTCTTTCATACTTTTCTGGACCTGGACAGTGTAATTTACTTGGCAGGCAATGGGACAGTCACAAGCCTCCCGGTTTTCATCCAAAATATCTTAAATTGTGTTCCGAAGACGAACAAAGCTTTTACGGGTCTGGAACGACATGGGGGGTAAGTGATTAATGACAACATTTTCATTTTGGGGTGGAGTATCCCTTTAAATAGGTTCCTTTAAATTCCCTTGTAATGTTAATAAAGTGTTTTGCTTGTCAGTGTTTTGGTTGGCTAACATCAGTACATGAGCATTGATGTTTTGAAAACATCAGTTCAGCTATTTCTAGTTCATTGCACTTGTTTTCAGCATGCTTGTTAATTTTATGTAAATTGCCATTCAACTCTGTGCCTCCTATAGAGTCTTTGGTATTGATGCTTTCCTTCTTCTTGATACTGAAGTCAAATCTCCTGTTTCCATATTTTTCTGAATCTCGAACAGATGCCTCCCCTTCTCCTCTCTCCTTTGCAAGGTGTTACGTACTGCTTCATACGCATACACATTAATTCAGTGATAGTGATCTCTATTATTTCGTATAAATGTGTTTTTTATCTACCACCTCATTCCCATCCACTCCTGCAGGAACCTAAAGAAATCATGAAAATTCAGCTCTAGTTTTTGAAGAGGTTTAGCATTGGTAATGATCAGGTTTTCCGTCAGAAAATGCACAACACAGTTTCTCAGTTTTACAATTTGAACTGTAAATAATACATTTAACATTAAGACATCTGATTATTTAATAAAGCTTTATGTGCCACAGAAGAGACTTACATTTATATTTTCTCCCGAAAATAGCTTGTATGTACGTATTAATAACATATTTTTATCACAAGTCCTGCTGATCTAATGACATTAAAGCATATATTTGTTCGTATTGGTTTTGACAGATCACTCATCGGCTCAATCTCTACATTAAAGTAGGTAAAAACAAAAGTTGCTTTAAACATGCTAGTCTGGCTTGAATATTGTGTATATTGAATATTGAATCATGTTGCATTAAAAAGAGTAGCAGTAACAGTGTTTTTATATTTAACAATGTTACTGACAAGCACAAATGAACCACAAACCTGAATAATAACCAATGCAATTAATGATTGTGTAAGTTTTACTGGTGCTGAAACAATGCAACATTTGCCAGAACATCTCTGAAGCGAAAGTAGATCAAGTCAACAGGAAAAGCATCTCAGCCACAATTCCTGTTTTAATTCGTGGTACAGCAAAGCAATGCAGATCGCAGGGATATATTGAGTTAAAGCAGAAATAGAAGTTATTTAGCTGCTTTGTGATTCATGAGAGATGAGCGTTTGGCTGCGGTCCATCCTTTCTGAGCATGATTGGCTGCGGCCCATCCTTTCTGCCAACCGTGATAGTGAATGATTCCTCCTGCGATGACTGTAGCCAGAAAAAACACAAGCACAGCCAGACCAACACCACCGAACATCAGCACACGCTCCGTCAGTGTCACCGTCACCTCGTCTGCAGACAGACAGAGAATTATTAATGTTTGTACAACAGAAAGTGTTAACTGCAAAATACAGTACAATACAGAACGCAGAAGTTAAAACATTAACAATTAATTATACAACATTACAATCAACATGTTACCTGTGTTGTCAGCTTCTTCTTTTGTCTCTTGTACTACAATAAGACCTGTAAATATATGATAAATTTACACACAGAACTGTCTTTAGTTGTTAGTTGTATAAGATTGGGTTAAGATGAGCTTCTGTAGTTTTTATGTTGTCCTTTATGCAATAAAAATGATAATGGCGTTTCAGGGCCTTTAGGATTTGCTTTTTCAGATCAAGAAATGTAGGTTGGTAGGTGTTTGATTGTGGTCTGAAAATTTACTCTGATATATCCAATATGAAAGGAATATGAAATATCCATTCAGTATAAATATGAGGGAGAAAACTGGTTTTATTCAAATTAAAAACATATTATCCAGCATCACTGAATCAACCTAAATACATTCATTTATGCCAACAAAACTACTTTTATGGATTAAATCAGAGAAGATTGTTCTGTAAGGTCTTGGCTGGCTCATCTTATCCATTCCCCCACCACCACACACAAAATGACAAATTTGTTCACATATGATATAAAACTGAAATCTGTTACCCTGGATCTCTAGTCTGATGGGTTTGTCGAAGAACATCTCTGGAGCGTCAGACTTTGTTCCACAGAAATAAAGACCCACATCTGACTCTGTTACTCCAGAAATAACCAGCGTGGCTCTGGTGACCCAAGTGTCTGCTGTAAGATTCAGTCGAGGGCTGCTTGGATTGTAGTTGATCAGGAGTTTTCTTCCTGATTCATCTTTCTCTGCAGCAGTCAGTAGATAGAGTTCTCCAGATCTGAGGTGATACCAGGCGACTTCATATCGGCTTCTCATGCTGCAGTTCAGACTGATGCTTTCTCCCATCTGAACCCTTAACAGATCAGAAGATCCTCGCACAGACGCATCTGGAGAGACATTGATAAAGATAAAAAAGCAATTAATTTTAAACTGTTAATAGTTAATTTGAGGTTGATTTGTTAATTTTATAGTGTTTGATATATTTACCACTGGACGTGGTTTGCATAATCCAAGAAAATACACAGAAGAATAAAATGACTTGGTTCATTGTGTCTGCTGTTAATTAAGGTGTTAATCAAACTAAAGGTTCCAGCACAATGCAGTGGAACTAAACAACAAAACTTTTCATTTCCTTTCCAGACAAAAATAGTCTTTGTATCAGATCCACTATTTGTTGTGTCAGACTTCTATGTGCTGTAGGGCTGTCAAAATGGCTGAAAAACTAAATTCGAATTTTGTACTTAAATATGATCAAATTCGAATTATATTCGAATTTAAAATGCCTAATTTCAGTCAGGGTGAAGAAAAGCTTTTGGCTTCTCTTCTGAGGCCACAAGAGGGCGCATCAAGCAAAATATTACTAATGCACGTTTATTCAAAGTATAAGATAAAATGACTATCTGTGAAAAAAGTGCATAATGTTTAAAATAATGTTTATAAACAATTATAATTAATTAAGTTGCTTAAACAACTATAAACAAAACAGCATCATGCATGTATGCATAGTTTAATACAAAGGGCCGAAAGCCAATCACACAGAGTACATTTTTCATTTAAAAACATGAGTTGCAGTGGGATGGGGAAAAAATCCCACCATTAAGTCTTGATATATGTTTTTTTTTTTTTCAAAGTTAAACTTGCATTAATTTTACATGGCTTTCTAAACATGCGGCTCCTTTGTGCGAGATGCGAGTGCAATGGTGATAGATGTCCCTCTAGAAAATGCGTGAAATATGCGTTCTGTGTGAACGGCTTGGTTTCGGTTTTGATGTAAACAAGATCTTCTCCGCATTGATGTTCGCTTTTTCCACTATATTTTTAATGAACAACACAGCAGCGCCGCATCTAGTGGCTTCAGCTGGACAGGATAACAAAAACATTATAATGCAACGACACTTACATCGTCATCACATCTCGTGCACCACTGATAAGGCTGCCTGACACACACCTACAATGTGAATGTAACGTTTTTGCATTCGAATGTGAATTTTTATTTTAAATTCAACGAATATTCGAAATTCAAATTTTTTTTGACAGCCCTACTGTGCTGTAATGAAAATCTTCATGTTTTTACTGAATGTGCTTTCTTAGCTTGCAAAGCAACTAAATGTGTGTGGATTTGTAAGTGCATGGATAAATGTTAATAATTTTGACCATATTGCAAAAAAAGCTTTTTTGCAAAAATTGACAAATTAGGTCTAATTTATAACAAAATGTCATGTTTATAAGAGTGTATATAACTTTACATGGACTGCAGTTCTATTATATCAGTCTCATGTTAACACATGTATGTTAAAGTGTCATGGTTAAACTTGGAGAATGGTGCATAGGTTTTCTGTAGTTTATTGAAGGAGGAAGTCATTTTTTCGAAGGTAATGTGAGACAGGAAGCTTACGCTGTAGTTTTGAACAGGTCACAGTCGCTTTAGGTTTCAAAACCCTCAGTGATCAAAGGAAAGAGTCACAAAACTTTTAAAGCAGACAAAGTCCTTTATTGAGATGTGTTTAAATAAACAGACAGTAGAATGGAACAACATAGGGTAACACTTTATTTTAAGGTGTCCTTGTTACACATGTTACTTGTACTTACTATTATAATAACAATAAATTATGCATAATTACATGCAAGTAACCCTAAACCAAACCCAAATCTTAACCCTAACCATATAGTAAGTACATGTACTTAATTAATATTACTCAGTATTTAAATGTATAATTACACTGTTACAAGGATATCTGTAAATAACCTCAGTGTATTAAGGATAGTATTGTGTCTTATTGGCCTTTCAGAGCTAATAAACAGGCCTCATTCCTTGAAAGACTACTGTCCCTTAGAACTGACCCCAATCATGATGAAGGGCTTGAATCTTAAAGTCCAGTCTCCTTAAAACATTTGACTCATTCCAGTTTGTATATACCGTCCACACCACTGTACATACAATGTGATATCTTGGCTCACACCCACTTGAAGCACAAAAAAAATGAAGCTATCTATTTCCCATAGAAACCGGAGGCTGGACCAGCCGATGCGCATGCGCAGTCATAAGAGCGTTGGAACGTCGCATGCACATTGGCTGGTCTAGCCTGAAAAAATAAGCTTCTTAAACACTATTCGTGCATAAGAAACAACATTCATGGGGCAGTTCATTTCAGATTTTGTTGCTGATTTGAAATATGTCATTTAATTGTGTGTTCATAGGGCAGTTTTTGAGATTTCAGAATACCCCCATTCATTTAGATAGGACTTGGTCTTGTTTGAGCTGCCCGGAGGCGTTGGAAATATGGCCACCGAGTGAACAGACTTTCCTTGAAAGGGGCTTTGGTTGTAGCCTATCGGAAAACACTACGTCTCACCGCTGCTTCCTGAGAGGACTATTACTCTGTCGTTACGAAGAATAGTGCTGACAGCTAGGCTTGAGGTGAGAATGCACGGATCTAATATAGCCTAGGCTACTGACACACATCCATTTATTCCCCGACTGTGTGTGTTCACTCAGGTCATAAATTAATGTCTATATGTAAATACTCGCCAAGACGAACATTTTGACGTATTTTGTGTATATCTGTGTATTATAGCCTATGTATATTTGACCCTGTAGGTACTCGCCTTGGCATGCGGCACAATGATCGTTTTATATTTATTATTGTTTTCACAATCGTTGGAAGCCAAAATCGAAACTGAAACTAAAATGAATCGCAGAGCCTCACGCTGACTTGTTCTTCTAATACGTCACCACGCATGAAAGCCACATGATAGAGACACATGATATAATTTGGCCAACAGCCGTCTAGTGGGTAGCAGGGGCGTAGATTACGCGGGGGACGTGGGGGACCTGGCACTCAAGTGGCCACGCCCTTAATTATGCAGAACTTTAAGGCTTAATATAATTTAAACGGATGAGTTATAAAAAAATTCACCCCCCTCACAGTTGTCATGAAGGGCAAAATTAGCTACATAGACCAAAACCACTTTTTGAACCAGGCTGTAAACTTGGGCATTTTAACATGGGGAGTCTATGGGACTAACTCCCTTTTGGAGCCAGCCTCTAGCGGCCAGTTGATGAATTACAGTTTAAAGGGGTCATATGATGCGATTTCAAGTTTTCCTTTCTCTTTGGAGTGTTACAAGCTGATTGTGCATAGATAAGATCCCTGAAGTTGCAAAGACTAAAGTCTCAAAACCAAAGATATATTCTTTATCAAAGTTAAGTCTCTGCCACGCCCCCCTAAAAAGGCTCGTTCTAACACACCCCCACATATCTACCTCACTATGTGGGAAGATTTGCATAACGCCGCCCAAA